TTAAATTTTGCAAACCGGGTGCTGTTTGAGACATAAGAACTAAATCATCTGCATATAATAATGATGATACAGTTTTATCATTCAGTATGGCTGGATTGAGTTGTTCATGACTGGAATTGAATGATGTACTTAAATCATTTATGAAAAGATTGAAAATCGTTGGACTCATCACACAGCCCTGTTTTACTCTTTTTTTTAATTTCGAACATATGGGTGATTTTCAGTCCTGATTTTATGGTTGCGTATGTCTGGAGATACATGTTTTTTATAACTAAATATAGTTTACCATTAATACCAGCCTTTAAAAGTTTATAAAATATTATTATAATAATTTATGTTCGTAAATTAAATTAAAGTAAAACTGCACGATTCCATTATTACGACCACCGCTATCTGAGATGAAGAACGCAATATGTGTGGGTCATACACGAACTTAAATATTATTACGTACATTCATTGCTCAACAGTTTACAAATAAAGCATGTCACCAGGTCGAGGCGGGGAATCCCTACTTACAAATGTTTAGACCCGGGGTGAAAATAAGACTTGGATAGAGAACTAAAAGCTGTAAATGCGGAGCATGGGTAAAACATTTAGTGCATATTAATATGAAGGTAATTAACTAAATTAACAGTGTGATTTATTTATTATAGAGATGTTGTTTACAGTATTGAAAGCTTTATGAACAAAGCTACTACTACTACGCTACTATCGATGTCGACATTTTGATCATAGCAGCACGGCATACTAAATTATCGGCGATCGGATCACAAAACTCAAAGTATCTACCATTGATAAATAAATAAAGAATGATAAAGTACCTGAGTAAATGCAAGAGAAAAATAAACTCCGTCTCTTTGATGGCAAATTTCCTTACTTTAGCAGTATAAGTTGCACGATCTTGGACCCTGAAATCTACATAGCCAGCTACTATAGCGCATGCGTTACAATGGCATTCTGGGAAACTAAGGTCACCACTAGAGGGCGCCATACTTTAAAATTGGAAACTGATGTCATATTCTACGAATTTATTTGAGTGACTATTTGTTAGACAGTATTTCCGGGTATTTAAGGTTATCGCACGAGGATTTATTATTGGGAATATCTACTTTCACATTCATTCAACCCGTTACACTTTTAGTAATGTCTTGGCTTGGCTTTGGAAAGACAAAAAGCAACCTACCTGCAGCCACTCACCTCCAAGAACAGAGAAGCAAGCAGATCGGATCGCTGAAACAGTTCAATCGCAAGTGAGTCAATTTAATAGAAATTAAAATATTGATGTCATTCAAAATAAAACTAATCGGTAGCATTAAGGGCCAGGGGTCTATAAATTATATTTCAAAATGGGCAAGGGGTTCCTTTTTGACATTTTCATTGGTCAAATTTTTTTTTGACATTTTCATGAATCAATTTAAAGGGGTCGTACAGTATTTTGTCTGTGTTGATGTAATGTGTGATAAGTGGAAATATATATTAAAAAGGGGTCGGTTTTCTTGACAATTTGTTTCAAGGGGTGGGTTATTGAGGGATCTGGTCCAACGGAATGTGAATGTCAGCAAAAGTTGGTGCCTCACATACCCATATAAATCAAGGGACCCCTCAGGGCCCGGTGTCACAGTTTAATGCTACCGTACATGCACGTTATGTAAATACAACTAGCAAATATGTGAAAGTAAACATACGGTCAAGAAAAATCATCAGTTTTATATTTCCACAATTGCCACTGTAGCAATCATGGTGAAACTATTCAACCTTTGATCGAATGTGAAATATATTACAAAATAAAATTAATATTTTCATTTTTAAGTTAAACTACGACTCATCAATGGTTAAAACTTGATTATATATCAGTCATTGAATTTTCTAATATAGTTCAAACATAAATGGCAATTTTTATAAAATTATCTTGCCCTTCAGTGCTTGTTTCAGAATGATCGAGGGCACTGATCATCTGTTCCTACAAGTAAATTGATTTGTACCAGGTAACAGGTGTATTTGCAAGTCACTGAATACTACACCACAGCTTTTACACACAAAAAGTCACCATCTTTGTTTGTATGGCACAAATATAATGCACATGCATGGTACAACAACCACCTCAGTTCAAGTAATAATCATCACTTCTAAGAAAACTGATTTGATCATTT